ACTCCTATCCTGCTTTTCTGTATGAATCAACTATCCTAGTCCCCACCTTGACAAACTCTGTTCTTAAAGTTCGCTGATGGTACGATCGTTCAATTCAAATTCGGCCGTACACTGGCACACGCCGGTTTCAACGGTTTCTGACGCGGTCCGGCCGTCTGGGCCCGGGCTGGTGCGGTCAGGCCACGGTAGGGGGTTAGCTTCAATGTGTTAGCCTAGATCGCCCATGGCCCTTGAAGAAGGACGGCAGTGACTGAGATCTCGACTTGCCGTCCAGTATACCTTGCACTGCCAGGCTGAGTTGATCGGACGCCGGCCCGGTCCGAGTCCGAGGCTCTTGCCAGGGCGAGTCCGCCGCGGCACGCCGGTGGCACCGTCTGAGGAGTGCAACGACGAGTGTCGGCAGCATGAGAGAATTTTCGTGCCTTACAAGAACTCTTATCTTATCTATGAGGCGGGCTGGTATGTCTATGTGTTTGGCTGCTAAAACTCTTATTTCTCTCATTTGAGTAAAAACTGCAGAGTTCGGAGGATCCAATGAGTCATAAAACACAATGCACAAACAAGGGAACAGAGGCGGGAAGAAGCAAGCGAAGTCAACAGGAAGAGGCAGGAGATGGAGGATGAGCAGCATCAGGTTCAGTGTACGAATAGGAGGGCAGGAAGTAGGATTGGGCAGACGAGCAGGATGGTGTGGTGCAGGACGAGGAAAAGCGAAAGCGGGATCAGAACTGAGGTTATGATGATGATGGTTGTGCCGTGATGCAGGAAATGAGAGTGGGAGTGCGAGGAACAGACACACACAAAGATAGTAAGGAGGGCAGGCAGGCAGGGAGGTAGACAGACAGACAGACAGACAGACAGACAGACAGACAGAGACAGAGACAGAGACACATAGACAGAGATAGAGGCAGACCCTAGTTCCTTGCAGGTGATTGATACCATGACTATCAGATAGGTAAACTTAGTTACAGTCTTTAAACGTTGGTTCGCATTGACACGAGCTAGAAGACTTAAGTCCCCACTCTGCTGTATGCAGAGCAACGAACGAGATTAGTTGGACTGCTTGTCTTAGATGCTAGCACACAGTTGCCCTTGGCCTCACGACAATGGCGACTTTGCACAGAAATAGCACGAGTCTCTGTCTTTTCTGACTCCAGCTGTTGTCTGACTTATCCTCTCCTAACAGTCATCCTAGTCCGTCAGATGAGAACTCTCCTCGCATTCCTTGTCGTGGCCGCATCCCCCTTGACGCTCCATGGTTTCTCCATGCAGAGCTCCATGGCGCGGAGACTCGGTCCAGTCTCAGTCAACATGTGCGATGGGAAGTCTCGGCAGTCCCAGCCCATGGCGATCCCTCGGATGCTCCTAGATCGACGTCAGGCTCTTGTACTCGCCGCCGCTGCTGCCGCTGGTACTGTTGTCAGCCCCTTTCCCTGCTCAGCGGAAGGAACGCGATACGCCGACGATGCGAGGGGTTTTGAGTTTCAGGTGCCGCAGGGATGGATTCAAGGAGAGGCGGAGTTCCCTGGAGGAAACAGGAACCCCGCTCGTCCCAAGATCATCTCCTTCCGCAGCCCGACGTCGGACGACTTCAACATCGCTCTGGTCTCCTACAGTATCCAGCCCGACTACTCCAAGCTGGGAAGCTTCGGGACCATCGAGGACGTGGCCAAGAACATCATCGGGACTAACGAGAAGGCTTCGACGATAGGCGAGATCCTCTCGCAGAAGCAGACGAACCTCGGAGGCGGACCCGGATACATCTTCAACTATCGCATCAACGACAAGCGTCTCGCCACCATCTTCACGACGAGTGTGGTAGACTTGACTTGTTGCTTGCTGCTTGCAACCTGAAGCCTCCTCCCTCTCCTTCCCTTCCCTTCCCTTCCCTTCTCTCCCCTCTCTCTTCTCATCTTGCAGGGAAGCTCGGGGGCGTGCTGGCTCGTGACTTTGACCATGCAATGCCCGGAGGCACAGTGGGACGACAACCAGAAGAGCGTCGAAGAAGTTCTCAAGTCCTTCAAGCTGGAGAAGTGAGAGCCAGTAGATCAGACTGAGAGCTGAGAGGAGAGGTATCTGAGTTGGGGGTGTGCTGGAGGGAGCAACCAGGAAGCATCTAGAGCATCTGTTTCAACCCTCGTCGTCCTCTATTAGCTCTCCTCCTTTCCGTATAAGCTGCTTCTTCAAATATTTCTCCCGAGACTTGAGAGCCTTCGCCTTCGCCTTCTTTTCTCTCCTCTTCATCATCCACCATGTCCAGAACGCAAGCCCCCCCAGCACGGCCGCAGCTGCCAACGTCACCCCCACTGCAGCAGAGCTACAGGTCAGCCAGAGCAGGAGCGAGGACCTGACTTAGTAAGGAGCGAGGAGCAAGAGGAGCAAGAAGCGAAAGGAACCGGAGTGAGGCAGAGGCAGAGGCAGAGGCAGAGAGAGGAAGAGGAAGAGGGAGGTAGACAAAGAGGGAGGAGGGGAGAGAGGGATAGAGAAGGAGCACACCTATCATGCTCGTGTTGACCACAGTCTGGTTGTTGACCTGCTGTACCTGCGCGAAGACAGAGGTGTCGTTGCCGTAGTACCCACTCCTGACTCTCAGGGTCTCGAGGCGGAAGTCACATGCTCTCTTGTACCTGAGACTCATTGTTGGCACACCCAACCCCCACCCCCCACCCTTCACCCGCAGAGATTCATGCTTGCGTTCACTGGTGAGCCGTCGATGTACGGGGTCATGCATCCTCGGTCGAGCGGGTCTGCGAGAGGAGGAGCAAGTGAGAGGAGCGGAAGGGCATGCCGGTAGACAACCGCAGTAGATGTTTCGTGTCGCCACGTTCAGGAGCTGGAAGGGGTCGCCCATCTTGACAGGGTTGCCGCTGCAAGGTCGAAACTCTCTACACAACTGCGTCTTGAGGCAGTACTGGGAGAGAACGCTGACTGCTACAGGGTTGTGCAGAATGTCCTGCATGCCCTTGCACTGGAAGAGCTTCATGAGGTGTATGTTGCTCAGGAAGCAGTATCCGCAACAGTCGGAGGGAACAGGGTTCGTCGCATTCACCGTCGAGCACTGCTCGTTGCCGTGATCAGCATCGCACTCGCTCTTGGCGTACAAGTTGGAGTTGTTAAGGAACAGACTCTCTGACCCGATCTGCCCGATCCTCACCTGCCCGATGTACAACTTGGGGTCCCTTGCGCAGTACCATGCTCGCAGGACCTCCTTCGCCGGCACTACCCCCCCGTACCACTGCTGGTCGTACCTCACCCACCAGTCTGTGCTCACAAAGGAAGTGAACTTGGACCGATCTGTCACGGGCCCGCAAACATCTCCTGCTAGGCACGTCGTCGTGTCTTGCGACCCCCCGCATGCGCTCCCATCCCTCCCCCTGCTCAGCTGAACTTCATCTGACGTCCCGATGAGCTGGCCAAACACTTTGCCGATCTCCAGCGCGAGCGTGTCGGACGCATAGAGGATCTTGTCAAGCTCGTTCGCAACGTCCTTGGAGAAGGACAGGTTGAACTGAACGCGGATGCCGGGGTCCGGGCCTGACAGCAACTTGGTGCAGCATTTGGAGGGGCAGATGGCGTTAGATCCCTGGACGGTGCAGGTGCACGGGGAGCTGAAGTTCTTGGCGCATGTCTGACCGACAAATACGTTCCTGACGTGAACGTCCTGCGGGGTGAGGAGGGTGGTGCTGTTGGACAACGACATGGAGTTGACAGCAGACGCGACGGCCCTTGAGAAATCAGCCCTGTAAGGCTCGAAGGCGGCGGCGCTGGTGAACCCACTGATCTGAGCCTCCTCCATGGCTGTGCAAGTACCAAGTCATTCCTTCTCTCGGCTCGCGCCTTCACTTGCCTGTCGGGTCGTTGCACGTGTAGAAGAAGGTGGGAGGGTCTCGAATGTCTATCCACACCTGCCTGCACTGCGACTGCGCGTCTGATTCGGTGAACTGCTGGAACTGCGGGTTGAGCTGGGAGAGCCTTGCTTGAGAGCTCTGGGCCCTGAGGTTCGCGAAGGCCTGCGAGGGAGGAGGAGTCAACGCCATCGAGCGGCAAGAGAGCTGGTGCTAGCATCTACCTGGCTCTGCACGCAGTACCTGACCGTCAAGGATTCTTCTGCCCACAGCCGATTGGACCCACCTTCCTGAGGTCAGAGGACGCGTCAAAACAAGAGGAGGGACCAGGCAGGTTGACCTGCGAGTCGTAGAAGGAGGAGGTTGAAAATCCCTTGCATTCTCCCCTCATCGGCCTCGCTAGCTGCCGGCAGACCTCAGCGCTTCGACTTTCCTTGTCCTCACGTTCCATTTACCTTAGTAGCCAGACAGTACGGCCCACAGTCTGTGCAGGTGATCCCGCTGCGAAGCGCCATGCTCGCGGCGTTCGGCTTCTGTTGTATGATGGAGCTTGTAGCAGTGCGTCCTGACAGCAACTTGACAAGAGACAAGAAGAGTATGGCGAAGCTGCTTGAGCGTTTGTAAAACATTACAATCACCATCGAAGCTGACCCAGTAAAACTTCTGAGACAAGCAAATCAAGAGTTCATGTTGACGTTGTAGGTGCTTTGTACAAGCCTAACAAGAAGAGTTGGAGATGCAACAAGGTTACAGCCGATCTCCTTTCAGTCGCTGCTTTGACGTGACATGTACAGATTGAGAGAGCTTCATAGCCAGTTGCTCACATGCTTCGTGTGCCTGAGGCTTCTCGGAATCTCCAGCAAGCTTTGAATGAAAAGACCACAGCAGGTAATGTCAATCAAATCACGTGCAGATCCCACACTGCTCGATCCTCCATGATAGTGGTGTGAGCCCGTCGAAGATGATCTCTGTGGAGAAACAAGACATGTCAGAAAGCTGACAAGTGGCATGAAACAGAGCAGAGCAAGTCACTTTACATCCAGCACTTCACAAAAAGCTCGATCACAAAGTGATTGTTTTCAAGAGTCCAATCCCTCCAACACCTAGGATGTATGCTAGGAGCGGGAATGACAGGTGAAGGAATGCAGGAGGCGTGCAGAAAGGAGGGAGGCGCAGGAAACTGGACCGGGAAGATCGGGAGTGATCTGCTAGCAAGGTGAACAAGAGCCGCAGTGAGCAGAGCCTGGATGGATGGTGTCTCAGCGAGGGAAGGGCTGCATAGAAAGACAACTCAGAGCAAGAGAGAAAGAACAACTGCAAGTGCAAGGTCAAGGATGGAAGGTTTCATGATGTGCCAGCTTCGGAACAAGCTCAGTCTATGCCCGGAAGGCGAAAGTTGAAGGGAATGAACTGGAAGGGAGAGGTTGGGTGCGAAAGTTGAAGGGAATGAACTGGAAGGGAGAGGTTGGGTGCGAAAGTTGAAGGGAATGAACTGGAAGGGACAGGTTGGGTGCGAAAGTTGAAGGGAATGAACTGGAAGGGAGAGGTTGGGTGCGAAAGTTGAAGGGAATGAACTGGAAGGGAGAGGTTGGGTGCGAAAGTTGAAGGGAATGAACTGGAAGGGAGAGGTTGGGTGCGGAAGTTGAAGGGAATGAACTGGAAGGGAGAGGTTGGGTGCGGAAGTTGAAGGGAATGAACTGGAAGGGAGAGGTTGGGTGCGAAAGTTGAAGGGAATGAACTGGAAGCGAGAGGTTGGGTGCGAAAGTTGAAGGGAATGAACTGGAAGCGAGAGGTTGGGTGCGAAAGTTGAAGGGAATGAACTGGAAGGGAGAGGTTGGGTGCGGAAGTTGAAGGGAATGAACTGGAAGGGAGAGGTTGGGTGCGGAAGTTGAAGGGAATGAACTGGAAGGGAGAGGTTGGGTGCGAAAGTTGAAGGGAATGAACTGGAAGGGAGAGGTTGGGTGCGGCATGACGACATGGTCTCACTCAGTCTCGCACTGACATGCAGCAACTTGCTTCAACAGCTCTGCGGCACTACTGAGAGTTT